ATCACGCACACACGCCTGTTTTCACTAACCACCCTCTCACCTGCATCGAGTTCCTCAAGCAGCTCCACTCTCATTTATACCCCATTCACTATCACTGTTTGCAAAGTCTTGTTTTACTGTTATGGACATCACCAAGCTTTTCTGAGTCTAATCTAGTCCAGTCTGTGTCTGACCCATCGCCTGTTTCATGGATTCCGTTTCGTCTGCTGCCTGCCTCGGTCTTCCCGCCTGGTTATCGGACTCTTGAGTATTACCTTGTCTCCTATGCTGTCTGCTCTCTGTGACCATAGCCTGTCTGAATACCCTGTAAATAAACTCACGCTTATTTATTTTGGGATTTCGGATCACTCTGAGTCTGGTGTTTCATGACATGGACAGAGAGCTTTTTTTTTGTAGATTACCAATAAACAAGGAAACAAAAAAGATGAATAAACAATAAATAAACCAAACCAATAAAAACAAAAATTGTTAGTATCAGCAGTATGTGACAAACATTACTCAACTGTATCAGTAAAGAAAATTGAGTGAACTACTGGATTGGATTATTGTCTTGGAGCATAAGGCTGTCACTGAGAGTGCGCCTTCACCTCTCTCCGGTCTCACCCGTTTCTTGTCAACTGAGTTCTAGAACTGCAATTCCCATCATTCTCCTCTGCTATCATTAGGATCCATCCCTTCCTAGTTTCTCCATTCAGTGTCATCACTTCCACCTGTTAATCATCACCTACCCTTTATCTGGACTGCTCAGTTCATTGTTCCCTCTGAGTCTGGTGTTTCATGACATCGACAGAGCGCTGACTTTTTTTTTAGATTACCAATAAACAAGGAAACAAAAATGATTAATAATAAATAAACCAAACCAATAAAAACAAAAATTGTCAGTATCAGCTGTATGTGACAAATATTGCTCAACTGAATCAGTAAAGAAAATTGAGTGAACTACTGGATTATTGTCATGGAGCGCAAGGCTGTCACTGAGCGCGCGCCTTCACCTCTCTCCGGTCTCGCCCGCTCATTGTCACCTGAGTTCCAGAACGGCAATTCCCAGCATTTCCCTCTGATATCATTAGGATCCATCCATCCATCCATCCCTTCCCCTCTGATATCATTAGGATCCATCACTTTCACCTGTTAATCATCACCTACCCTTTATCTGGACTGCTCCGTTCTTTGTTCCTTCCTTGTTCCTTGTTGTCTTGTTTTGCCACGCTGCATGTTGCTACGTGTTTCTTTGATGTTTTATGTCAGTGATTCCTTGTTTTCTTACCTCTTTCAATTAAGTGCAGCAGATGGATCCGACTGCCCCCGCCCCATCATTACAGAAGATGTCGCCTACTTCCAGCGTCTTGCTTCCGAGGGTTTCCTCACAGGCATCTGTGTTAATCGCACACTTTTCACACCCAGTCTCTTCGCTAATCCACCAGCCAGCACGGATTTCGAGGCCATGCAGGTCTGTTTCACACATCTCACCACAGAGGACCGTGAGAGAAGGAGGCGGAATAAATTGTGCCTGTACTGTGCTCAAGCCAGCCATCAAAGAACTTCTTGTCCTGTGAGAGCCAGATCCAGAGATCCTTCTGCGGTGAGTTTGATTAATTCTCCCTGCTCTCTCAGTCTCGAAGTTTCCTTAGTTTTAATAGAAGTATTTGCGAAACAAGGGCTTTAATTGAGTCTGGAGCCGCTGGGAATTTCATCGATTTGGAGTTTGCCTTGTCTAATCATCTCTCTCTCATCCCTTGTAAGTCCCATGTGGCAGTGGCAGCCCTGGATGGATGCCCCCTGGCAGGGGGGCGGGTGGGCTTCCAGTGGTTTTTCGAATGCACTTAACCATTTAATTATGATGTGGGCGACCGGGAGCTTCTGGCCATGAAAGCGGCCTTGGAGGAGTGGAGGCACTGGTTGGAGGGTGCAAGTTAATCTTTTCACCATCTTCACAGACCACAGAAATCTAGAATATATCAGCTCTGCCAAGCGACTGAATGCTCGTCAAGCTCACTGGTTACGGTTCTTCTCCCGATTCAATATCAAGATCATGTACAGACCTGGGTCCAAGAACAGGAAGGTTGATGCTCTGTCTCGCCAGTTCGAGGATTTCAACTAACCGGGTACTAGAGATCCTGGACTCCAGACGCTGCGGCGGGGTATTGCAATATTTGATTGCCTGGGAGGCCTACGGGCCCAAGGAAAGTTCCTGGGTTAGGTCTCAGGACGTCCTGGACCCGGTTCTTCTTACCACTTACTATCACACTCAACCAAATCGTCCAGCTCCAAGACCCTGTGGAAGACCGTGTCATCGCCCAGGTCCTCGCTTCCGGAGCAGCTCGCAAGAGGGGGGCTCTGTCACTGAGCGCGTGGCTGTCACTGAGTGCGCACCTTCACCTCTCTCTGGTCTCACCCCCTCCTTGTCACCTGAATTCTAGAACTGCAATTCCCAGCATTTCCCTCTGCTATCATTAGGATCCATCCCTGTCTGGTTTTTCCATTCAGTATCATCACTTCCACCTGTTAATCATCAGCTACCCTCATTTGTTTGACCTTTCTAAGGCTGACGAGCTTAGAGTAGTTAACACTTATTTTAAACACTGTTACTAACCCCAAACATTTATCTGTGCACTGCACATTTTATGTTTTCTGTCGCTTTTGTTAGCTCTCACTTTTTGGATGTAATTATACATTATTATACATACTTCTATTGTTGAGTATAATGTTTAATTAAATTACAAAATACATTCCACTTCTATTCTGATTATAATGTTTAATTAAATTACAAAAAAACATACCACTCCAAAGTCTGAAATGTCCTGTGAAATCCATGCTTGCAAAGTTTTTATATGAAATCTGTTCCCTTTCGAGGGAACTCGCATTGCGTCAAGAATCGAAACATTGTGGAATGCCTTCAGTGTGACCCGTCTGAAGCCAGCCGGCGTCTTCACACGTGGAGTTCTCAAATGGAGCTGGTGGATGATGTTAAGATGGCTTCAGCCCTTTCTTAACAATCAGCAGCCAGCTCCATTGGTCCCGTTCAGGAGTCCACCCAGGATGAGGACCCGATGCTCAAACTATCTGGTTCCAAAGAGTTAGATATTATGGGCATCAAGGTAGGAGAGGATTTGCCACCTCATTCTCCTGCCTTCGATGAGCTGCTGGAGGTTGTGACCAGGGCAGTAACCAAATTAAATATTGAATGGCCATCAGAAAAGCAGGAAGCGGCCAAAACAGCAAGCTAGATGAGCACTTCCTGCAAACCCGGTCACAGCCTTCACGCCGGAGCCTCCCATTCTTCACTGAACCAGACTATGCAGACTGGTGCACCAGGTTCTTCTGTGGGCCCAAGGCAAACTACTCTCAGTAAGATGGAGACTCCACCCCGAGACGGTAAAGTTGATATGGAGTTTGGTCAGGCAGAAGTGGATCTGTTCGCCTCTCACCAGAACACACAGTGTCCACTCTGGTTTTCCCTCATGCATCCAGCTCCCCTGGAACTGGATGCTATGGTGCTGGCATGGCCAACGAAACGCCTGTACGCATTTTCCCCGATTGCCTTCCACACTCCTCTAGGGGTGGGCACTATGGGGAGACACCCATTTCAAGTATGTTTCCTTCGTGGATCTAGTAGGATAAAGCCTGTCGTCCCGACGTGGGACCTGGGAGAGATTCTTGAAGGCATATCCCTGGCACCCTCCGAACCCTTGGATGAGGTGTCCGAGAAATTTGTAACCCTGAAGGTAGCCTTTCTGCTAGCTATTACATCCATATAGAGAGTGGGGGACCTGCAGGTGCTATCTGTTGCTCCATCTTGCCTCAAGTCCACTCCTGGCAGAGTGAGAGCCATTCTTCACCCCAGACCTGGCTATGTGCCTAAGGTGCCTTCAAATGTTGCACCTTACATTTTTTTGTCTATGATCTTAGGAGCATTTCATCCTCCACCACATTAGTCGGCTGATCAAGCTAAGCTACATCTATTATGCCTGGAGGAAGTCGGACCAGTTACTTGTGTGCTTTGGGTCACCTAAGTAGGGTTCCCCTGCCTCTAAACAAACTATTAGCAGATGGATAGTAGAGGCTATTTCTTCAGCGTACAAGGGGCACGGTTTGCCTTCGCTTCTCCTGAAAAGAGCTCACTCAACTAGAGAAGTGGCATTCTCTAAAGCCCTGCTAGAAGGGGTCTCCGTCCAAGAGGTCTGTGATGCCGCCAGCTGGGCCTCCCCACACATCTTCATTAAACATTAAAGAATGGATCTGCCCTCTACACCGGTTTCACAAGTTCTCTCGTCTTAAGTGTGCCAGATTGCTTCACACCAGGGCGGATCCTAGTCAGTGTGGCGCAGTGGGCATTTCGTTCCCCAATGTGTCGATTCTCAATGCAGCGCGAGTTCTCAGGTTACGACGCTGCGTCCCTCAGCCACTTCCTGCAATCCTGACAACAACCTGCTTTGACGTATCAGAAGCTGACGCTGTTGATCCGGCGTTCTTTTATAGCTTCTGCATCGCCGTCACATGGAACATCATGAGTGACTTAATGACGCAATACCAATCAGGATTGGACTAGTTCTATACTGGCTTCAGACGCATCACGCTGAAGGCATTCCACAATGTGTTGATTCCTTTCTCAGGGAATGAGGGTTCCCAGACGTAACCCGAAACGTTCTGCACGATCCTCTTGTTAATTAACATTGTAGGGTCCGAATCATGCTCAAATTGGTTTGAAATTGATACCATTATTGAAATGGACACAAGGGAAGAACTCGTTATGGAGGGGCGGGACATTTCCCAAATCACAACTTATTGAGCCAGCTAACCTATCACAGCACATTTCATATTTCGGAACTGAAAGAGGGGAAAACAACGCATCTAAAGAGACTGGAGAGAGAGAGGAGCTGTAATAATGTAAAATATGTGAAAAATAATGATTTTTTTTTAACAATCAAGCATGAAAACATATTCTTTTCTAGTATACCCCAAAAACAAAATCAAGACTTCATAAAAGGCCGTAATAGGACCCCTTTAAAAGAACGTGTTCGACTGTCCTTAATATTTTTTAATTTAAACTCCCTGTGGTGTTAAAGAAACTGATGTTATTAGTACTTCAAGTTTCACTTAAGCCCAGCTCTCATAACTAATATAATCATACTGTGAAATAATCCCACAATTTCACTCCCTTCCTCTTCAGTATCAGGTTGAATAGATTGCCAGGTTGAATATAGGATTAGTTCGAATTACAGATTTACGGACGGGAAAGCAGCTCATTTACTGCAAGTATTGCTGATAATAAACTATAAACTTTTAGGAAGAAATCCATCAAGGAAGCACTTTTTATGATATAATGAATAAAATTTCACAACAGCAAAAACAAAACCTTCCCACACAAAACATTTGATAACATACAATGACAGAGGTTAAATCATCATGCCTGACAAGGAAATAGACTGAGGTCAAAAAACCCTTCAATAATTAATTTTCTTTGCACATAAGACAACAGCTCAGAACAATGGAGATGCAGATCCAATCCAGCGATGAACATTCCCCATCTATGAGATCATTGCAACTGCTGGGATGGACCTTGATCACGTCCCACATTTAATAGATGCTGTAAATGATATAAAAGTAAGAGAGAGAACCTACAGGTACAACAGTGAGACATTATAAACTCATCGACATCATGATCTTCGCCATTACATGCCTTGCCTTAGTGGCCTCTGCTCTGGGTAAGTCTCTACTGAAGAAGTTTGCAAGAAAAGTGATGGGTGAACAGAACATATATATTTACAAACTACAAAACCTAAATAAAGAGCTTTATGTGTCATGAGGTTCTATTATCTACAGGTTGTGGAGTGCCTGCGATTAAGCCACAGACGATTGGCAGCAGAATTGTGAACGGACAGAATGCCATCTCTGGTTCTTGGCCCTGGCAGGTCTCTCTCCAGGTAACAGTGTATTGGCCGACTTATATCCTGCATTTGCCTGATTTGGTCATAGAGTATATGTCATGTTTTCAATGCTTTTACCTCTGAAACAGCAACCCAACGGATTCCACTTCTGCGGTGGATCCTTGATCAACCAGAACTGGGTTCTCACTGCTGCTCACTGTGGTGTCCTGTAAGAGTCTTTAATCTAACAAACGTCACAAACAATATTGCTTAAACGCTGTTGCTCTTTTCATTATACAGTTAGTTTTTTCTTTATCTCTCTCTTTTTAGAGTGGGCAATCATCGTGTCATTCTTGGAGAACATAATCGTGGCTCCAATGTTGAACCCATCCAGGTCAAACTAGTTTCCAAGGTAAAAATGTTGAATGAACTTACTGGAACAGAGATGACATTGAAAAAACAGACCAGTTTTTATGACCAATACCTATTGCATACAGAATAGATTAATGTTATTTCAAAGCTTATAATAACTGGTCATTTTTAATTATTTTACTATGTTCTTTTAAATGCAGTAATAACCAAGATCAATATACTACAAAACATAATATTTATTCTAAATATTTAATTTAAATATTAATTTAAATATTTTATTGGTAGGCTACTACTAGTAGTAGTATCTCTTGTAATGTATGCAAAGGTATGACCTAATAGGTTACAAGTGTATTTTAATCTTCGATTTTCACTTTTTTAAATGATTGTGTTTAAAAAAATGGTGAACTATATATATATATATATATATATTGGAGCTTTTTAAAGCTCCAAGTTTACAAGTTGAAAAGTGTAAAAAAAAAAAAAAAAGAGAGAAAAAAAGGTAAAAACAATATCGGTTAAATGTCTTTTTCTAATCATAGACTTGAAGTCATCTATACCACTGCTATTGTTCTCCTAAAACTTGCATTTGCACATTTTTTACACATAGACCTTATGTTCCTGATAAACAAGGGCACAGCCATCTTTAGAATATTGTCTTTAACCTTCTGTTTTTGCGGTTGCTCTGTATGTCTATAGCATTGCTGTCCAGGAGTGGGCTAATTAGCTTTTGAAGTGGACATACTTGATGTAAACTTAACAAACGTTATCATGAGGATTGTAATGTTTAAAGCAGATGTCTTAACAAATGTCAGTAGACCGGGAAGATTTTAAAACGAGCCGTTCATTCATAAAAACGCACGATCACTATGAAAATAAAGACTGCAAGACAAAAGACAATGGCCCTCATTTATCATTCTTGCGTAGAAACGGCGTAAGATTATGCTTACACTCCTCTCACCGCCTGATTTATGAAGCTGTGTGTACCTTTGAAATCCAGGTGTATGCAATACCTGCCCTTGATAAATGCCGGGGCTGAAAACGATCGTCATTAGAATAACACGCCCCTAAATATTCATGTCTCTGCTTCCCACACGCCCTCATTTTATGCCATGGACACATGGAAGAGGGAAAAGAAGAGAAACTTCTCTGGTGTGGAGCCGAAATGACCTATCACAATGCATTTTTTTTTTTTTACAGCACTTGATTTGAAACAATTGGCATTTAATTTCATATCACATCACATGTATTGGGGTGTACAATAGTGATGATGATGATGTGATGTGGAGTACCATTTATTCACATTAATAATTGCATGACAATTTGTTATATTCTTCTTATTATTATTTTTATTATTAATGACTGTATTGTTATTTAGAAGAAGAATGTCGTTATTATTATTTGTATTAGTCATATTTAAAAGAAGAAGAATGTCATTTTTATGACCACAGTGCACAGGCTTGCAGCTAAAGGAATACGCCTACAAATCAGATGCTTTGGTAAAGTCACACAAATTAAACTTTCAAGTCCATGTTACATAAAAATAAACACTGAAGTTTATAATTACTATGTTGTTGTTTTTTTTTACAGTGGGTCATAATTTATCATATCTTAGTTTGTCAGTGTGTTTTGTGGTGTTAGGAATTGTTTTTCTGTGCATTTCCACACTAACTCAAAACGTACGTACATGTACGCCACCTTCTGAGCGGGTGTAGGATTTGAGCGTCCCGTACGCCAACGTCTATATTGATAAATGTAAAAGTCACTGTGGTTTTGGGTGTACGCCAGGTGTACGCTGGAAATTTGGTGTACGCACTTTTGATAAGAGAGCCAATGAGCGCAGCGCTGAAAAGGGGCGGGGCTACATGAGGTCTATACAATTAAACACAGATTAGAAAAAAAAAGGGAACATCTGAAATTATAGGGTATAAAAAATGCTTATACATCTTAGTTTGCCTTTTATAAAGTCAGCTTTCAGTAGTAACCATTCATCCTTATTTGTCTGTGCAGGTCATCACACATCCGCTCTACAGCAGCTCGACCATCAACAATGACATTGCGTTGCTGAAACTTGCGTCTCCAGTTGTCTTCACTCCCCGTATCTCTCCTGTATGTCTGGCTCCATCAACCATCAACATCCAGCCTGGAACTCGCTGCTTTACCACTGGATGGGGCAGAACTGCCACCACATGTAAGTCGCATGTAATTTTGATCTATGATGTTATAACAACATATATTCATTCCACTAATCCAATAAATCCTTTTAAAGTTCTACTAACATTATTTGTTGATTATGTTATATTTGAGTCTAAACAGCCAGTATAATTTTTTCTTTTCTTTTTTCAGCGAGTCCTCTAATCCTGCAGCAAACAGGTCTGCCCATCACGAGTCTTGCTGTATGCAGACAATTCTGGGGTCAGAGCCGAATCACTGATGCCATGATCTGTGCTGGAGCCTCTGGATCCTCATCTTGCCAAGTATATGAAGACAGAACAAGACAAACAAATTACCATATCTATTTTGCAAATGTTTCGATCTCAAATGTGTGTGTTGTGTCTGTGTGTTCCCCACAGGGTGATTCTGGGGGTCCTCTGGTGTGTGAGAGATCAGGGGTCTGGACTCTGGTGGGGTCTGTGTCCTGGGGCAGCAGCACTTGTAACACCCGTTTCCCCGTAGTCTACGCCCGTATCTCCAAACTGCGCTCCTGGATTGACACGACTATTGCTTCAAACTAGAGCCCCAGTCTAAATATTTATTGAATATAACTTAGTCTGTACTTCTGATTGCCTGTCTGTGACTTTATACTGTTTTCCTGTTTCAGCTGTAAAAATAATAAAAATTTGTCAAATAAAATGAGTAAAATAAAATGGGGAAAAAATTAATAGAGTATTGCAGAGTGTATTTAATGATCTGGGCCCGGTTCTCCGATAATGCTCACTCTTAGCGCGCTAAGAAGACTCAAAAAGATACATCTTACCAAAGTTGTCTATGTTCCTAAGTGTGTTCCCCGAAGTGTCACTTAGGAAGCTTCTTAAATCGCTCCTCTTACGTTTGATGTTACAAAGGCGCTGTCCCAAGTGAAGGTTCTGAATTAGTTGGCATCGATTGCTCAGGAATCGATTTTCCACTTCACACGAAGGTTTATTACGCCGTTAAGAAAGATAACACATTCTATGCAAATGAAACATTCCTCAAATTATTCGAGTAACATTTATTTTAACATTGTTTAAGTTATCAGTAAAATAGAGACTATTAATTAAATTATCAAATTGTGATATGACAAAATGTTTGAGATGACCGATCAAAGTAGGATTTATGGTCACAGAAGCGCGAGCCGCGCGCGAATCCCAATGCAAAGCTTCACGAGATAGGATGCAAGTGGCAAAACTAAACATCTTTCAAAGCTCAGATTCAGGAAGGGGATGTTTACAGGTAAAGATAAAGAGACTGAGAGAAGAAGAATGAGAGAAGGAGATGGAGATAAAAGAGGAGAGGTAAAGCAATAGCCTATTTCATACTGTGCCCAGAACAGTGGCGGTTCTACTTTGAATTACACCCAGGGCAAGACCCCCTTCGAGTGCCCCCATACCCCCCCCCCCCCCCCCAAAATGATCACATACACAGAATCTTGTTCAAAAAGCCTAATATACAGTGAAATCAATTCAAGTTAATAACATTAAAGATTTGTTTTAAAGGAATGTCTTTCATCTTACCTACTAAACTTAAAAAAAGGTTAACACAAAAAAGGTTTTATATAAAGATAAACCTCATATTTCAGGATTTAAATCATCTCTATAAAAAATTAGTCAATGAAGATACATTCCTGACATTTATAATGCACAGTAGCTTATCTTTTATTATTAATAGTAAAATCCGTACCAATTTTCCCATGGCTGTCATTGAGATTAGAACCATGCACTCATTACACTGCGCTCTCCACAACGACAAAGAAGTTTTAGTAGCTAATGTGTTTCCACCACAGAAAAACGCTTGCTGTAGCTCTGCTAAAAGATTTATTTATGGAGAAGAGAAAAAACACCCAAGTGTTTGGGTGCACGTGCACTCCCATACTGAAAAGTTTATGAGCGCGCTTACCGTGAGCGCATAATGAGCGCGCTTCCCTTGCGCCTATTTGAAACATAGAGGATTTGAAATAACGACCTCGAGCGTGCAAAAGACGCGATACGTGAACTAATCAGGAGATCCCCTTGATCCCCTTGCTTCTGCGCACGCCACCTTCTCAGCAAGCAGGGCGCCATTGCCAATAATTGAATCGGAATGATAAAAAATAGAAAAACTTCGCGGCACAGAGGATTTTTTTTTAACTGCTCGTGCCGCCCCCCATGTGACATGAAGAAATGCCGCCCCGGGCGACTGCCCGGTTCGCCCGTGCCTAGAACCGCTACTGGTCCAGAATGAGAATAACTTTATTACAATGGATTCCTATTTAACACAAATACACATAGCCCAAGTTCTTTGAAAATTACTGTGAAAAAATAATATGCCCCCGAACCCAAGATGACTTTTGGGACCTCTGTATTTATAAAACCCACTGTACTGCTTTTGCACTGAATAGAAAATTATATTTTTCCAAAATACAATGAATTACAAGGCTGTACCGAAGAGTACACTATTGCAGACTTATATATTGAGGTTAATTATATTATTTTACTGTAATATAGTCAGTGGGGAACTAAAGTGGGCATGTGGGTAAAATGAGTCCCACTCCGGCCCTGAAACCTCTCACTCGAAGTGCAAACCTACACATCAAATCTCCAAATCCATAAGCTATTTCTTAGCCTTTGACTCAGTTTTCAATTGCATAAAACATTTTTTTCAAAACACTACACACAATTCTCTACCTAAAACACAAAACATCTAGCAGAAATTGACTTGCTTTTCTTTTCCAAACACACCAATCTACAATTTTTCACCAGGTCATGCAAACACTCCTCATATGTGCAAACTAGTGATGGGAAGTTCGGATCATTTTACTGATTCGGATCTTTGAGTCTCGTTCAGTAAAATGAACGAATCTTTTATCGAGTCATTTCGTTCATTTCGGTCATTTCATAATTATATAATTAAAATGTCATGTTAAATATCCCAAAACATCTAGTACTTACGAAAATCTTAATTACATTTGTAAAAATAACATAATAGGGTAATGCAGCCAAAGCCTGAAATAACTGTAACGTTAGCTATTAATTAGTTGCTGGGTCTCAAGTTCAGGCTATTCACCTCACCTCCTGATCCGAGACGTTCTTTGCTTTGCAACTTCATATTTATCAGGTTTGTTCTCCTCCTCTCATGTCTCGAGACGTTAGCTGTTGACTCGTCAGTGTCTGACTCTGATCTGTGCTGTCTGCTGGGCCGTGCCATGCGATATAGCAGGACCGGAAAGATTAAAGATTAGTTCATCTCTCGAGTTCGGGTTCGGCCGGGTCCGAGTCTTTCGTTCTTCCTGTCAGTCCCATAGAGTCTATGCTGTCAGCACCGGAAAGAGAAATGATTAGTTCATCTCTCGAGTTCGGGTTCGGTGGGTCCGAGTCTTTCGTTCTTCCTGTCAGTCCCATTAAGTCTATGCTTTCAGTACCGGAAAGGGGAATGATTAGTTCATTTGAGTCTTCGGGTTTGAGTCCGTCGTTCTTTTCTCACGTGGCCACGGGTCTTGCATCAAATACAACATTAGATTCGTATTATTGACTGCGTCTGAATATTGTGTTATATAGGCATTAAAATACAAATGTTCAATAAACATTATAAACGTCCATTATTCCTTATTCCTTATTATTGTCCCTGTCCGTCTCTTTTCTATATTATGCATCTGTGGTGTGTTTTATTATATATTGTACATTAATTAACTACTATTATATTATACATCATCTACGTGCTTGTTTGTAAAAGGTTTGTGAATTAGTTTGTAAAAAGTTTGTGAATTTGGGTATTCAATACGGTGACGTGACTAAAGAACGAAGGACTCAAACCCGAAGACTCAAATGAACTAATCATTCCTCTTTCCGGTGGTCTGACAGCATAGGCTCAATGGGACTGACAGGAAGAACGAAAGACTCGGTCCCGCCGAACCCGAACTCGAGAGATGAACTAATCATTTCTCTTTCCGGTACTGACAGCATAGGCTCTATGGGACTGACAGGAAGAACGAAAGACTCGGACTCGCCCCGAACTCGAGACTCGAGAGATGAACTAATCATTTCTCTTTCCAGTACAGATTCAGAATCCATATGTTGCGCAATGCGCATGCGCGGGTAACACAAGATGAACGAATCACTCCCTGAGACAACTCGATAGTCCCGAGTCATATTAAAGATTCGTTCAAAATGAACGAATCGTTCATGAACGACACATCACTAGTGCAAACTCTGTTTTACTGATCACTAACCAATCAATGCTTTACTGTAGCATAAGCCTATAATAGGTCAAAAGTCAGATTACCTGTTTTGAACAATAGATGCCAACAATGGTTACTGTATGAATAATTTTGGTTTACATATGTTTATGGTTTTGTTGAAGCCTATACTGTACACAACAGTAATGTTTGGCCTAATGAATATTGTCCGTTTCTACATTGCATTGGTGATTACAGTGTACTTGTTACCCCTCTCAGAAGACTACTTTCAGTGTAGAACATTGTATTGAAATGTAGATATAAGCGTGTGGAAGACCAAAGAGCTTTAGAAAAAAAAAAACAATGTTTACATGGTGTATCAAAAAAATGCACTCTTATGAAATAAGTGTTTGCCATTTGATGTAAATGCTTCATTCTGACATGTGTTAATGGCATTTTGAAAAGCAGTTACATTTTTGAAGGAGATGTGAGGCATTTTGCATTTTGTGTGTGAAGTTTTGGGAATTCACCTTTGGCTAAGCCCTGCCCCGCTTAGTTACTGTTGCTACATCCGTCAAACTTCATCTGCGCTCTGCATGGCTTATGCTGTAACAGCTCTTGCTGCTGAAATGTTTTCAAACTTTTATAAAGCACTAAAAGCAGAAAATAAAGTGTTCGGTAGACGTAGGCAAAGGGGGCTGCAATATGCGTTCGAAGGCTATATTCAAGACATACAGGTGAAACGCAAGAAACAACAAGGCATCCAAGTTAGAGGCAAAACGTTACCGGTCACAGTCAAGAAATTTCCTACTAATTGAGACGGAGGCTGGGACTAACAATATCAGGGAGCAACACTGCTCATGCAAAGCTGGGTAGGTCTCTATTCACTTCTATAATAGTTATTACAAAGCAAACAGACTACACGAGTATAACATTGTATTTATTAGCAGCGTGTGCTAGCGCATCAACAACCGGTATGAGAACCGAAATCATAACCTAAAACATTATAAAACTGTCTAACTAGTATAACTTCACACTCACAGTAAGGTTAGAAGTACAAAAAAGATGTGCTTGTTGATAGCTGTTGGGTTTAGCTGTCTGAGGACATTCACACAGTTTAATCCAAACACGACACTTGTCAGGATTTTACTTCGGTTTTGGGAAGGGAAAAAATGGATACCCCCCTCCAACCTCTCTGGGAAACGTGCATCTGTGTTACAAATGCCCGAGGCACAACGTTTAACCATATTTTGGGCAAAACTACGACCGTAATAGCCTGCCGAGACCAAAAATATGAGACGCCTGTGTTGAAAGTCAATGGAGCGCTGTGAAAAAGTGTCCGACCTCTGTGGGAGCTCGTTCTTGGCTGCGCTGTGATTGGTCAATCTACATTCTAGGGCGTGGCTTAGCCAAAGGTGAATTGTGTGTAGAGTTTTGAAAAAAGGTGAAATAGTTTTGAAAATTTGTGAAAGTTTCTAAAGACTGCTGCACAGTGGCGGCAACTAGCGTCTTGAGCTCAAACAAGACTAAGAGAGAGCTTACGAATG